TGTTGACATAAGTGGTAAATTCACATGTTTCGCTGACGACACCACTATCCTCTGGCATAGCAATACCGTCGACATAAGAAGGGTTAAAGAGTGGTGTGATTTCAATCTTTTATCATTCAACATCGATAAAACAAATGTGGTCACGTTTAGATGTAACATAGGGGAAGTACACTTAGAAAATGTAAAAATTGAAAATTTGGAGAAAAACAAATTTTTAGGGCTCTTCATTGATGAAAATCTAAAATTTGATTTCCATGTCGACTACTTATGTAAAAGACTAGCAGCAGGATGTCATGCAGTGAGNTATTTATTACTACAGTTCAATCAGAAATGTATTCATATAGAGCATCTGAAAGATACTGACTTTGCAGCGTTGTCAGACTGTTTCCGAAGTATCTAGTCCTACATACATTAGACTAACATTTATCAATTCATTACATTAAACAACTAATATGGTGCAAAAGTTTCCGGTCTTCTCAGAACTGAAAAACTCTTGACACGTTGTTTTCATTTTTCGAATCTATCATCAGGAGAATCTCAATCTTGTAGGTGTTCAAATTCAATTTTCAAATATCTGATTTTTTTAAATTTCTACCCCCTCAGACGGCCTGGTAAACGTGAAGTTTTTTTCTGTCGAATAGATCATGATGAAAAACATATCTCAAACGTATAAGTGTACACATTCAATTTTCGATAAGATTTTTTAAACTATCCATCCCATTTTAACCCCCTCAACGTGAAGTTTTTCTCGTCAAATCGTGGGTCAGTAAAAACATCTCTTAATCTTGTAGGTGTACAAAGTCAATTTATGAATATATGATTTTTTCAAGTTTCCACCACATTTTCACCCCCTCAAAAGACCTGGAAAACTATAACGTGAAATTTTTCTCATCAAATAGGGTTTCAGCAATAACATCTCTTAATCTTGTAGGTGTACAAACTTAATTTTTGAATATATGATTTTTTCAAATTTCCACCACATTTTTACCCCCTTAAACGGCTTGGAAAACTATAACGTGAATTTTTTTCAGTCAAATAGATCATCAGGAATAACATATCTCAATTTTGTAGGTGTACATGGTCGATTTTTCATGCTGAGACATTTTTTGATATTTTCATCCCATTTTCACCCCTTCAAGACAGTTCAATAAACTAGGACGGCTCTGTTTTTTTTACTAATTCAGTCAATAAGCGTATTATATTGAAAAATGATAGGTGTGCAGAGTCGGTAAATGAAAAAATGCGATATTTTTTTCTCGGTGTACTCTGTGGATAACTTCACACCCGTAATGAAATTGATTCATTAAAGTGGTGCGTTCATTTCTTGGAGAAGTGTATATTATAATAAAAAATTAAATTTGAAGTGAAATTCACCTTGCTATGATGGACATTTCAAAAGATAATTTCGGAAATAGTGAAATCTGGTTTTGCCAGTAAATTGTTGAGAACCTCGATCTTTTCTCATTGTTCATTGATGAACAGCGTGATGCATGTGAACGGTGTCATCGACGTACGAGTGTTGGCCGATCGTTTACTCAACCAGTGGACTCAAAGTTATCCACCGCATTGCGATTATGGCGGCCGTAAAATAAGCGAAGCGCGCGGTACGTTGCCCGAACAGAACACCCATTTTCATAAAACAATTTCGGAAATCCCTGTTAGAATATGAAGACATTCATCAATATTCTTGGAATGTTTCTATGTTCTAGCGAACGCTTCTATGAATGTTCTTGTACTATTTGGGTATGTATTTTACTGGCATTTTTTATTCAATATTCCATAATTTCTTTAAAATTAGTACTTTCACTTTGTAATCTCTGAACAGAAACATTTAATATTCATTGGGATAATGAAAACGATTATGTTTATTTGATTGGAAGCAAGGTCGGATTTAATAAAACAATATAACAGTTAACTGATCGATGAAGCAGATTAATCAATATTTCGCTTTGTTTTTTAGGATTTAATTTTTCATTAATTATATTTGTGAAATTCAGCAAAAATAAATATAGAACGACGTTAGATTTGAAGGTTTTTTTCGAAGATCATATAGCTGAGCCCATCGTTGCTATTTCAGAAATGGTAGGACTTACAAAGTTGATTGAATAAGACAAAAGTTGCCCAGTTGGGAAACAATAAAAATGGTTTTTCAGATCGCGATTAACAATAGCGTTTCGGAGATATTCGCAAAAAACCGACCAAAAAAACCAAAATTGACACATTTTGTTCGTTAAAACTACCGTCTTTAATAATATGAAAATAAAAGAGAGTAACTATTTGCGCTGTTTCATGTTTGTCATAATCTGGTATGAACTTATTTGTAATGTGACGTTTCGTTCCTTGAATTGCATCATCATTCTCTTCAATATTGACATCTACTACTATTTCATCAATTTTATTAGCCTCTATGGTAATAAATTCAGCCATGTATCACAACACATGAATTTTTGAACGTTTCTTTTCGGAAAAACACCATCAGAGTTTCGTCATACGATTCTCCATGAGAGATGTCTCAAAAAATTAGAAACCAATATTCTTAATATTTAGAAGTCAAAGACATAAAATTTGTGAGTATATTTTATACGTTTTTACGTATCTGTTTTAGTTTTGTTTATATTCACATGTCTTATATTAAAAATGTGGTTATATATTTCTTAAATTTCAATTAACCCAGCTAACTGAATTTGTCCTTACTCTCTCTACACCCTGTATACACAAATCCCAATTTCATCGTGAGGCACAATGTAAACATTCATCGATTGAAAATAAAGTGACCTCGAGAATATGAACAAAATAATTTTTCCTTACAACAACCGAAGCAGTATTTAAAACAAACTGTGTGAAAACCCCGGTATTATTTATCAACCGATTTCTAGGAAGTCGACCCCTCGTACTGGTCCCAGGTCAACAATGAAAACAATTGTTGTAAACCTGCCACCGACCAGATGTGGAGATGGCCTTAACGTAAAACATCGAGCAGAGACCCAGCCTACTTGTTCAGGTAACAAGTCCTGCGATCGGTAAACTCCAATTCATTCACGAGCAGTTTTATGTTTTATGCCGAGCGTAGGCGAGACAGTCAACTATTATAAACATTCGATTTGAACTTGAAACGCGTTGATTGAGAATAAACCGAGAATCATGAATGGAACCATTGATTAGCGGCCAATGAATGATCATCCACTTCTGACAGATAAGGCGGCTGGAAAAACGAATGCTGCCGCTCTGGCCTACTAATTACGGATTATTAAGCGGCAATTAGAGGGATTTCCTGTGTCCGAAACGGACGGAAAACTGGGATGAATATCATGGCCGACTGTCAACCCTGACCCGGGGGTGTTTCTTAGGGGTAGATCGTACTCACTCTTCAGACGTGTCGGTCATGGTTCGTCCTTGGGAATATCCTACTGCTCAGAGTCCATTTGTTTGACCACCACATTTTTGCACAACATCAAATCCAACTTATCAACACGGGAAACACCATTGAACTAAAATACTGTTAGTCTGACATCTAGGACGAAAGTGCGCGTGCGCGGGCCAGCGCGCCGACTTGTTGGGTGTCCAGTTTGAATTTGCCCGCTTCTCGATTTATTGATTCATTCTTGGACTAATTCTTTGCCGAGTATCGAAATAACAAATTTCGTTGAGATCTTTTTGATTCGATTGAAGAATACTAGCGAAATGTATTCGGATTTTGTTTTCTAGTTCCTGTTGCCAGGCCAACGGGCTTGCTTAGCGTACCAATCGAGAGTAGTAACAAAATTCACTGTGGTTTATTTTGCGATTGAAAGTGTGAGTAATCAAAACAAAAATTATTAAGCAGATATTTTGGGAGAGGATAAAACTAACAATCAGAGACTTTGTGTACTTTCGTTCTCTCTTTGAAAACCGTCACTGTTTATAACTTAAACTACAAATTTCTTTTTTGCTACTTGGAATGTTTTTAAAAATCACAATAATACTCAATGAAAAGATAAAACTGTACCACATTTCTATTTCAATTCATTGTGCAAATCATGAATGATTTCAAAGCCGCGATTATGATAAATGTTTCAACAAATTATCGGATGTTCATATATGCATTCAAAATAGAAAATATAATCAGTGTTATCACTTCATTAATTACTTTTTATGGAGTTCTGTTTATCCTGTCCTCTCCAACAATACCAAAGTTGCGTGCTCGATAAAAATTTTGAGATAATACATAACCTATAAGTAATAAGGCGTGAGAGTGAAATGTCGACAAAATGGCGCATGGTTGTTTATTGTTGTTATTAATTTATAGTTACATGAAGAAGATACATTTTTGAAGTGATGTGTTTGAAAGATAGATGGGAACTTTTGCATTTTTCAGTACAAAGGCATATTTGAATTGAACAAAAATTTTCATGGTTAACCAGGGATATAGTTTTCATGGAAATGCACGAGTACTTCGAGATATTCATTTCTGGAAGACGGTATTCTCTAGATCACAACTCAATTTGGGTTTTAATCATATTTTTCCACCTATTGAACAGTTCTACTTTCTTTAAAAATGAAAACGTAATATATTCTTGATTAATCTTGAAAGAATTCCATTATCCTCAATAATAATCAAACATGTTCTGAGTTCAGATTCCTATTGTTTGAGAAGGTGTTCGAAACCTATGAAAAAACATAATTAATAGAAACAGAAATCTCGTGAGGTCGAAACAGCGCTATCTGGTGTTGGTTCACAACTTCATCTACCTACTAATATTACCTTACGAAAATACGGGGCTAATGACAACAGTAGTTAATGCCGTTGACAGCGAAAAAAAATTGGAACACGGATCGCTACAAATCAAACACAGATTTAGGTTCTAGCCAACGGGATGTACCTCAATAAATCATGGATTGGGTGGCGTAACTGTTACAATTCAAAATGTGTTGATATAGTTCAGAGAAATATACCCAATATTATATTAGTAATCAATGATCTGTCATGACAACGTATATACACTGGAATTTGATTCGCCTGTTATTTATAACAGAAGTATTGTCTTCAAGACAGGAATAAAAAATATCTTCAAAGTGTCATAAATAAATAACAAATTTGCTTTGTCAATATCTTTGTCAGTTTCATTAACAATGTTTTGAGAAATGAATAATGAAGTAAGAACATGCCAGTTATCTTCCTCACCATACTTTACGAAATCGTTATTTTGCAGAGCAATGGGATTCGTCGTTGACAAAGTTTCCGAAGACTCTTTTTACGAAAACCTGCTCCTGGGCCTGTCGAAAGTTCTGGAAAAAAATCCCTGCATTTCGAATCTATCCCTCAAACGCCTTTCCGGCGTCAGGCAAATCGAAATACGTTCCTGGGAGCATAACAACGGGATCATCCTACCAGAAGACCTTAGAGCCTTTTATTTTTCCACAAACGGATTTTTGTACACGTACGACTTTTCTTACGACTATTCCACGGGAGACCAACGCCTAATCCGGCAAGGAAAAATAGAAGTTAACCCACTAGAAGAGCTCGTGAGAACATACGGCTATGAGACGAAGAACCTTGCTCAAGTGGAACAAATCGGGAAAAAGTACAAACTAACTCTGTCGCGCGACAGCAAAGTCTTCGAGCTTTGCACTGTGGACGACCACGCCAAAGTAGTCTTAGTGTATACGACTTCCTACTCCATCCCGAGCATCTGGCTCTATACCGCTTCCATGTCTTTTAGCTTTCTAGCGGAGGACTTCACCATCTACTTCCGGATGTGCATCGCCCACTTAGGCATTCCTTGCTGGCAATACATTGTTTCCAAGGACGGTTTGCCCGAGTGGACGAAAGAGATGTTTCTGCTGATCGCCCCTGGTGTGCTTAGCGAAGATCGGAACCTGATTGAAGTTCCGAAGTTTAATCTAGACGACGTTAATAAGATCGATGTTAATATCTTCACGTCGAATAGTTCAGTCAACGAACGCAGTGCAGCACTGCAGGGGGTACAACAAAACAAAGTCAAGGAGAAAAAAGTGAAAGGCGCGCCGAAAAGGCATGTTAGTGCAAAACCGGGCAAAAAAGTAGGGATGTGAACGTAATAAAGTTGGGTGAATATTAAGGATTTTCTTTTTGAGGCCCTAATGCCCGTATTTTCCGTATATCATGCAAAACTAAACCCTACTAAACTCAGCTGAAAATTTGAGCTCAGCTTGAACTAAGCTCTCCAAAGCCCAAAATACATGTGGCAACCCCTTGAAATTGCTGAAATTTTTCATATACGCTCATCAAGTACAATAAACATGGAAAAAAAGGAATTTATGCCAAAATCAAAGATTTTTCACTGGTCAAAATTGTAAAAGCGAAGTAGAAGTGATCTCAGGTACAAACAAGTTATTCCATATTTTAGATACTCAATCCTGGCACATGGAAGCAGAAAATTTCCTTATTGTGAAAGTACACAAAAGATAAATGAAATTACTGGAAATCGATACAGCTAATAAGAAAAATATGTGAACTTTCAAAGTACATTTCGCATTGAATATATCTAACACATATCACAAACCAAACTTTTATTTCAAGAAAGTTGCCACAATATAAATCAAGTTCTGAAATGAAGTAAAAGTTTTGTGTATGGTCCAGCCGTAAAAAGTGAATTTTTTTTTCATCAGACTGTGGAATAAACACGAGGATGGAAGGTTCAATGTTGTAGATATATAACTATTCATCATTTGTAAGTTATAGTGGTTCTTATCAGTCCCCACCGCAGACAGTTAGATTCATAAAAGCTTGGCTCAAAGGCTCTGAGCTGCCAAAGTGGAGATTTCAACTTAAAGTGAGCTTAAGTCCGATTATTGTTACGGTGCATTTGAAATTTACGAATTAAGTGAGGTTAAGGTTTATGCAAATCTGAATACTTTACGAATTCACAAATTTAACTGTAAAACACTACCAACTTCTGTAGACAGCAAACTCATCACATAAGCACTTGACACAATAAACATCGATCGGCATATTATAATTATTTCAGATTTATCAAAAATGAAATTCAACACAGTCAAACATTCAATGCAACACTGCCAAAGCTGAGTTCAACTAGTGTGACCATAATTTTAAAAAGCGTAAAACTCATTGCAAATTTATTAACAATATAATGGATTGATGAAAATATTTTGAATGAATCAAAATCTAACGTAATCTATCCTAGCCGATATGGGGACAAACAAACCAATTCTTCCTAACGAAAACTTCAGAAGAAGTTCTTTCAACAATTTGGAACCATCCAACCGCTAAAATTATTTGAATCAGCTTTGTTACTAGACTTTCTCTGATGTCTTAGAAAGTATTATATCCTCTAACCCTGTAGTAGCCACATGATCCTGGAACTCTTGGCTGGATAGCACTGGCAGCTGAAGCCATTAATGGAAAAAGAAGAAGAAGTAGTCTCTGAATTTGGATGAACTTGACGTTTTAAAACGTCAGTAGGCAAAAGATAAAAACAAATAGCAAGGCAATGATTTTTTGCAAGATTGCGAAATTTTTGTATACTTCAGCCGAATCGATATTAGAATTTAAGCACAACACACTCTTGTCCAGTCACCCTATTGAAAACTAATATTTATATTCCAAAGAATGCCTTGAGTTTACATAAACCTTTATATAAATACTCCCATTAAATGTCATGAGTTTTTCTGCTCTAGAATATATGCTCAGCAGGCAGAGAGGTCGACAATGGGTGCCCCTGATAACGCAACAGGTAAGTTATTTCCAAAGTATTTCGAACTCTAACAAAGCTATTGTTTTTTGTTGCAGTATCGTCTACGTCACGTTTTCCAAATTATAGGCTTCAATTTGTCTCGGAGGATGTCAGAAAGCTTTTACTTCACTCTACACCTGACCACCATGAGCGCACCGTTTTACACGAGTGAGCGGATGATGCATCCCCATCCGAAATGGGAGGAACTCAACCAGAGGGACATGCCAAATGGCTCCGCTTCCTGTGTAGTGTTGCGGATATGGCAGCATTGCGAGGACGGAGATGATAAAATCCTGTTAACGTGGGGTGTTCACTTTTCCGGACTTTGCTACTTGGGCAATGATTCGATTCTTGTACAACCGAGATATTTCAAGGATTATTCTGTGATATTTTGTATGCAGGGGGGTTTTTATACTAGTCATCAAGTGATCAAAACCGATCTGCAGATACCAATACCTTTCATTTCAGATGTTAACGTCATAGACACTTTAAACAGTAAGGTTATTTATAAAAAAGTAGCTATTGAAGTGAGTCGCCACGAGGTTCAAAGGAGTTGTAATTTAGAGAAGCTGAGAAGAGTGCACGATTTACAAATTCAGATTCGAAATGAAACTGTTGAAGCTAACCATATGCGGGACAAGTTGAATGCTTTGTGCGGTTTCAATCAGAGAGTGGAAACGGAGACGCAGTCTCTGGAGTCGGATCTCTCTGGGTCGGCTTCTTCGGTTTGGTACGCTCCGCAGATGCTCACTATGAACTCGTTGAATAAAATGTTGAAGGTGAGACCCTTCTGAAATATGTCTGGCAAAAGCAGGTAGTAGAATTGTAGTGAATTTTCAGGGAAATACTACATCTTTGCAGAAGCAGAAAATAATGGGAATCAACAAACAAATAGAGAAGGCCAAATTCATCATCAGGTTGCTTGCGCAAGAAAAAGATAAAAAGTCTGTGATAATTCGAGGAATAAAACAGAGGTTTTTTGTGATAACTGAAGATAATGAGGAGAAAGGCAAGTAGAACCTGTTATTTTTTTGCAAAAAAAATTATTTTCAGGCTGGCGCTAGTTTTAGAAAAATGTTCAATTAGACACGTTTATTTTAGTCCACTGATCATCAATCTGAAGTCAAAGCTAGGTTATCTAATCTACTTTAAAAGATACTACCACTCAAAAGTAAAAAATTGGTTATTTCAACAACTTTCGATAATACAGGCATGAAACTCCAGTTTTTTTCCTCAAAAACGTTAAATTTTCTTAATTCTATATTTTCCATCGAACTAAATTCTGTAATCATTTAAACTGTTTATGAAACTAAATAACACATTTTCAAGAGAGTTTTAGCTTTTACTTTCACTTTAAGAAATTCATCATAATGTAAATCAGTGAGAGTTTTCGTACACCATACTCTTACTAGAAAATAGATATTTCATCTTTCCCAACTACCTACACCGACAGTTCTGGTTAATGCCTGCCGGAAAACAACTACTTCCACGGGTAATACCACAATGAATATTTATTTTATTATTTTTTTTCTCTAGAATTGCCAATAATTTTTCAACTGAGTCAAGTGGTAAAAATTCTCCACTTTCTAGAATAGTTTCTAATGGCAATAAGGTTGATCTGACTTATTTTATATTCCTGAATGTTCTCTTAGAAATAGATTGAAAAATATTCAACTGTAAATCACAGGAATAAGTGCTCAAATATTTCTATTCTTAGGTTATTAGTATAGTTAAAGTTAGATTAAAATTAGTGTTTATTCATTGTTTATTCATTGTTCAACCACACTTTGACTACTGTTCCTCTATCCTATATCTATTCAACTCCAAAAACTTCATAATCGTGGTATGAGGATCATTTGGAAATTCCGTAGAGATACCCCTATTACTATTATGCTTAATGTTTCAAATTGGCAATCCATTTCTCAAAGACTGTTATATTTCTCAATGATTTTCGTACACAAAATATCGAACAATTTAGGACCATCTTATTTCGAACAGTACATTGTCTTTCATCATGATATTCACCACCACTTCACTCGAAATAATAAATTATATATGAACAGAACAAAAACATCATGAGTTCTTCGTTTTTCGAGGATTTTGATCAGTTCAACAAATTACCAAATGTGATTAAAAATATCCCATCTCTGAACGTGTTCAAAAATGAATTGAAGAAATTTATTTTCATTGCACAAATATGAAATGTGTATGTTACCTGTAGCTACAATGTTCTTTCTTGAGATATTATCCTGCCTATCTTATGCCTTTAGAATGTATTCATTTAATGTTTGTCATATATTTTAAATCATTCTTAAACTGTATCAATTGCTTTCTTTTTTCTTGCTTGAATGTCTGTCAGATATAATGCAATATCCAGCGTGGTATTAGCCGGTGAAGTAGTTGTTTTTTCCCCGATACAGTCTTCAGAATTATTATTAATATGGTTAAAGTAGAAATCGTTTGAAAAAATACTGACTTTTCAATAAACCAGTTCTCTATTAACCAAATTAATTTGAGAATTATTCAACTTTCAGTGACATCACTTATTCAAATCCCAAAGTTTTTATCAATGTATTAAATACTTATAAACAAAATACAATATGTATAGAACCTTTATACTCATGTTTTCTTTGCTTCTGTATTTTTATTTTTTGTAATTTAATTGCTTGCTTATTAAGAAGTTTTCAAAAAAGTGTCCACCTCGTGTTTTTTTTATTTATAATAGGTAACTCAAGTACGATACTTATCAAATATGCCACCTTTAATTTTTCTTTTGAGTGCAGAATCGGATCTAATGGAAAATTATCGTCAGCTGAGCAGGGAAGCGGAAAATCTGAAAGAGTGTAAGAAAATTATATACGAGCACCGAGAATTGTATTCCAACATCAACATGCACCTCCAACTGAGGAGGCGACAGCTGCTCAAACAGCTGTTGCAAATTTTTCCAATAGAGAGAACGTCTGACGATAAATTCACAATATGTGGGATACATCTGCCAAACTCCGATATCCTGGCTGGTAAGTTTTTGATGTTTCCACAGAAGATATTATTTTGCAGGTTCTTAATTCTATTTGACGATATTATGACATTGATTTCAGACTGTTCGGACATCGGATTGTCAGTGGCTCTAGGATATATTGCTCACATTTTAGTAATGGCTTCCACATTCCTGCAGGTGCCTCTGAGGTACCCCATAATGCATTACGGATCGAGATCTTACATCACGGATAACGTGTCGCCAGTGTTGCCGGACAAAGATAGAGAGTAAGTTTGCTTTGAGAAAGAAAATGAAATTGAGAGATGAGACTGAATTGATTAGAAAAGAAAGACTAGAATAGAGAGTACGAGAAAATTGAATTGATAAAAAAGATTAATGACATCATAATGATTGATTGTTTTTTGAAATGAAAATTTAACTGCAAATAATAATCAAGAAACGGAACACAAATTTTTTGAAGAAGATTTTTTATTGATAAATGAACAATTAATATTTCAAATTCAATGGAATATTATAGAAGTTATTACTCGTGAAATCTGCATGTCACAAAGTTAGGAATTTATCCAAATTACCTTAAAATTTCAAAAGTTGTTCCTGTGTTTAAAAAAGGTGATCCAAATAATATGGCCAATCACAGACCAATTTCATTACCCCCTATATTATCAAAAATTTATGAGAAAATACTGAAGTCAAAAATTATAATCATCTTGAGCAAAAAAAATTTTTCACAAATTCCCAGTTTGGCTTTCGAAATAATAAATCTACAACTCTCGCAATAAATAAACTTGTGGATACTGTAAATTATGGTTTTGATAACAAGAAATATGTTGGATGCCTAATATGTGATCTGTCAAAGGCCTTTGATTGCGTCTCTCATGATATCCTCTTATCAAAGCTAAATCTATATGAAATTGATGATAAACTATTAGGGCTTATAACTTCCTACCTATCTGACAGAAAACAAATTACATACTTCAATAAACAATGTTCAAATTTATCATCGGTAGAATATGGGGTTCCTCAGGGCTCGGTACTGGGCCCGCTACTGTTCTTGATTTACATCAATGACTTACCTGCGGTGGTGCCAGACACTGAGGGGATCCTCTTTGCTG